TTTAACAGACATCACTGATTTTTTTTAATCAACCAAATAAAGCTAACTGAAAAGTTTATAAATGAATAAAAAATGGCATTCCTTTGTTTTGTTTAGTTTGTTTACCTTTGGGTTTTCTGCACTTTTTTCACCGAAGCGTCGAAGTAACCCTGAACACTTGAGTGATCTGAGTCAGTAGAATGATTCATCAAGGTACTTCGGTATCAATCTAAATACTTCGGTGAAATACCTCATTTAGGAAGAATGTTATGGGGTTCTATAAACATTCTGTTGTGTCCTCAGTCCTTTGAAAAGATGAAACATAAAATACAATACTGTATTTAAAGATACCGTTTATTAACAATTGTATTTTGTCTTTATGTATTACTGCGAACCCCTTCTCGTTAATCGGGGACTCCGTGGCGCAACGGTAGCGCGTCTGACTCCAGATCAGAAGGTTGCGTGTTCAAATCACGTCGGGGTCATGCGACATGTATTTTTTTCATTCAATTTTTGAGATTTTGATATTAGATGAAAACGTCGTGACGAGTGTCATGATTATCGATGGAATTCGGACGAATGTTTTTCATTTTCGCGAAAGAATTTCAGTAGACTTAGGTATCTGATTAGACCGATATAAAATCAAACGATGTTCTCGCTGTACACAGTAATTATGTCGTTTTTGTTTGGTGGAGAATGCAAATGACATCACGAATAAATGTAAACCTCAGACCCTATAGAGTTTCGCTATGTGTTTAAGGTCATTTTACACGTATCACAGACAATATCCAGCTTTACTCTGTTTTTTCCTACAATTTTTTTTTATTGCTAATCATTGGTTAATTTGAATAAGGGACCCAAACATGCAAAATTTATGACGGGACTTGATGAAATTTTGTACATGTCTAAATACATTGAGGACCATGTAGTAGATTAGCGTCTTTAGATAAAGTCTATTATCATTATTATTATTATTGAGCCCAGGTCCATAGATATATTTAAAATACCAAACGAAAGAAACTCCAAATCCATTCTATGTCTTAGGCTTTCAAATTTTGTAGCATGGTATGCCCTTCATTGCCGAAAATTGACTTCAGTCTAAAAAGAAAATGCGGAAGACATTAATCTCAAGTGGATGATCACAGATGCAGTGTATATTAAAAAAAAAACAACATAAAAAACAACAACAACAACTGAAGTAAATAGGCGAGGATGGCTGTACATCAGGTGGGAGAAGTTAAATAGATACATAAATGGGATGGAATTAAGTTCCATCTACGAAGGGAGGAAGGTATAAAGGATAAGTTGTAAGAAAAATGTTAATTGTAAGATCGATATTTTCTACAATAGATTGTTTCAATAATCTAGAGTTAACTTGTTGAGCTTTTTTTGTTAAATAAAAGTTGTAGTTGTCTAAGTTTTGCGCGATTTGAAAGAGTATCTAAATCTGATTAAAACTTTATATCTTCAATCCGCACATGAGAAGGATGGTCTGTTGTGATAGGAGTAACTTCTCTTTGGACTTTCGCTAACGTTTTCGTTTCATATTTGCTACAATTATCCTTTAGTTCTCAGGCATATTCAGCATAACTGGCAAAATTAATTATCTATAATTTTAAAAAATACTTTTTCGATTGAAAAAATATTTCAATCGTCATAAGACATTAATTATTTCATAACGGAGACCCCGCCTCACCCTGAGTGTTAACAGGACGATAAAAGAAACACCAGTAACCCATAGTTATAAGGAAAATATTCCGACATCTTTGATTGAATTTGTGTCCATGCCTTCGATACGTTCTCAACAACACTGTGATATGAACATTGATCGTTAACACATGTCTGTGTGTTTTATTTTGTTTATATTCACATTTGTTTATTTGTTACTATATGCTATGGTCGAAATACCAGGATAACACATTTCCTGGCCTAATATAGCAAGTCATATTGTCATTTGTTCATGGAACAACGGCGTTGATCTTGTATGTATTTAACCATATTCAGGGGCGTAGCTTCCATAGAAAGAAAAACCCGGGCTTACACATAAAAATTCCGTGCATAGAGTATGCCGGACAAAACTAAGGTTGAAAATAAATATCAGGGGTTGAAGTTTGTTGTTAAATAGATTTAAAAAAAAACTGTCTCAGAAAACGATTCAAAACATCTTTGAAATCATGAAATTCATTTTCCGTCGGGGGGCTTCGTCCCCATGATACCTCCCATCCCCCCCCCCCCCCCAAGACCATGCCCTGGACCCGCTGGCGGCCCCCAGACCCCTCGCCTGGGCTTACATATTTCTGCTGGGCTAGCTACGCCCCTGATATTATATTTGTATTTAAATTGTCTCTCTGAAGCAAATTAATTGAGATAGGGCATCTCTTACAGTCACGCACGATTCATGAAAGTGTTTAGAATCAATCATTATCTTCGGCGATCAGTGCATCAGAGGTTAAACTATCCCGGAACAAAAATTCTTGTATATAACAGCCTGTGTACACCGGGTAGCTCTGTTTTGATCAGAAATGACAGACAGTTCTGGAGGCGACGTTTAAATGTGGATTGGCTAAAGATTTTGCAGCTTCAGCTTCATACGTGTGACTGAAAGCAATTCTACACCGCAATTTTAGATGAATCGACAACGTTAAAATATGCTAACTATGATATTTGGGCTGAATTGAATATACACTTTGATGTCAGCAATGTAGCTTCCCGAGAGACAAGCTTCCCCATAGACAAACTTTCCTATAGAGACAGACATTCCTATAGAGACAGACTTCCCTATAGAGACAAGCTTCCCTAGAGACAGGCTTCCCTATAGAGACAAGCTTCCCTATATAGACAAGCTTCCCTAGAGACAGGCTTCCCTATAGAGACAAGCTTCCCTATATAGACAAGCTTCCCTATAGAGACAGACTTCCCTATAGAGACAATCTTCCCTATAGAGACAAGCTTCCATATAGAGACAGACTTCCCTATAGAGACAGACTTCCCTATAGAGACAAACTTCCCTATAGAGACAAGCTTCCATATAGAGACAGACTTCCCTGTAGAGACAAGCTTCCCTATAGAGACTAACTTTCCTATAGAGACAGACATTCCTATAGAGACAAACTTCCCTATAGGGACAGACTTCCCTATAGAGACAAACTTCCCTATAGAGACAGGCTTCCCTATAGAGACAAACTTCCCTATAGAGACAAGCTTCCCTATAGAGACAGACTTCCCTATAGAGACAATCTTCCCTATAGAGACAAGCTTCCATATAGAGACAGACTTCCCTATAGAGACAAGCTTCCCTATAGAGACAAACTTCCCTATAGAGACAAACTTCCATATGGGAAGAAACTTCCCTATAGAGACAAGCTTCCCTATAAGAGACAAGCTTCCCTATAAGAGACAAGCCTCCCAAGAGACAAGCTTCCCTATAAGAGACAAGCCTCCCAAGAGACAAGCTTCCCTATAAGAGACAAGCCTCCCTAGAGACAAGCTTCCCTATAAGAGACAAGCCTCCCTAGAGACAAGCTTCCCTATAAGAGACAAGCTTCCCTATAAGAGACAAGCCTCCCTAGAGACAAGCTTCCCTATAAGAGACAAGCCTCCCTAGAGACAAACTTCCATATGGGAAGAAACTTCCCTATAGAGACAAGCTTCCCTATAAGAGACAAGCTTCCCTATAAGAGACAAGCCTCCCAAGAGACAAGCTTCCCTATAAGAGACAAGCCTCCCAAGAGACAAGCTTCCCTATAAGAGACAAGCCTCCCTAGAGACAAGCTTCCCTATAAGAGACAAGCCTCCCTAGAGACAAGCTTCCCTATAAGAGACAAGCTTCCCTATAAGAGACAAGCCTCCCTAGAGACAAGCTTCCCTATAAGAGACAAGCCTCCCTAGAGACAAGCTTCCCTATAAGAGACAAGCTTCCCTATAAGAGACAAGCCTCCCTAGAGACAAGCTTCCCTATAAGAGACAAGCCTCCCAAGAGACAAGCTTCCCTATAAGAGACAAGCCTCCCAAGAGACAAGCTTCCCTATAAGAGACAAGCCTCCCTAGAGACAAGCTTCCCTATAAGAGACAAGCCTCCCTAGAGACAAGCTTCCCTATAAGAGACAAGCCTCCCTAGAGACAAGCTTCCCTATAAGAGACAAGCCTCCCTAGAGACAAGCTTCCCTATAAGAGACAAGCTTCCCTATAAGAGACAAGCCTCCCTCCACACATAACTCCACACGTAACAAGAACCACAACATACTGATGACCAACATTTTAGCTGTTGACCTAAGACGTAATTCTGTAGAGTGATAAAGCTTCACTTTGTATACGTGTTTACCTTTTGGATTCCAAAAACATCTTTTTTAAAGATGGAACACAGCTTTATTCAAAACTTTTCCGTGAATGATGTCTCCCAGAGCACAGGTGAAGGAATGTCACCTAATTATGATGAGAATAAAGAATTGTTGACAACAGCTAATGATGAAATATGTAAATGCATGCTAGATTTTACGGTATCAAGGAAATTAACCGAAGCGAAAATGGATACATTTGACAATTTCCTAACTCGCTTGGCAGTCATTGCTATATCAAAGGGGCGACCATATTTCCACGGCGCTTACGAATCTGTTGGAAGTCGGGGCGAAGGTCTGGGATTTTTAGCAAACGATACAGATACTCTCTGCACCCTGACAACACTCTCAGCATGTTTTCCATCGCCGGAAGTGGATCTTTTGAAAAACATGTTTATAATTGATACAGAAGACTGTCACCAAGGATACTGCAAACTGAAATTCCATCGACAAAATGTGAGTGAAGCGTATACAATACCCAAACATCTTATCACAAAGAGAAAAAGAGACGTCTTTCTTAACAATTGTGCTTTGGTAAGAATGTTTCACGAAGGCAACAGAAAGTTCAGTACCTGGCATTCACATGGACCAGCTCTGACCAGTGATGAGCTACAGCAGGACTGGGTCATTGCTGTCAAATGTGTAAACCCCAATCGTCTGCTCAACTCTTACACCGAGAGAACAAGAATGTGGCCAGACAGTAAAATGGTGGAAAAATTGCGAACGGTTCAATATGCTCTTGTTAGCTCTTCTTATCCAACTTGTAGAGAACCATCTTTAGAATTTCGTATTTCTTTTGCATCAGCTGAAAAGCTTCTAATCAGAAGTTTTTCTGACATTCAATTTGCTGTATACACTTTCTTGAAATACATAAAGACACGTACAGAGGAAAGCGTTTGTAGTTCAGAAGATGTGCTGAAATCATATCATGTGAAAATGGCGATTCTTTGGTGTTGTGAACAGATGGATCCTACTGTATGGACGGCTAATAATTTCTTGTATTGCACTTCAGTGTGTCTAAAATTTCTTCAGAAATGTTTCCTTTCAAGGTCTCTTCCACAATTATTCATACCGGAAAACAATTTGATTGACCACTTAGACCCAAACGAGTGTGAAAGGATTGCAGCTTATTTCGGGAGGTACGTAGATCCTATTAATCCAAAGATGTTTCTGAACTGCTTGTGCGACGAAACGTTTGATGACGATTTTGATAGAATTTTCATGCATCCCAGACGAAATTTGTCGGACCGAATTCGGAAATTGTTCTTCAAAACAACAACATCAAATATTGCTATTGACAAAATATCAGCAGTGATGGAGACTGACACATTGTCGTATATACTAGCAGAGTTGAGAGTGTACGATGAACATGTGTTTTGTCCTGTGTTGTATGAAACCATTTTGGACCTGGATAACATTGTATCCTTGGACATGATCGATTGTATACGATCCCTTCTTTACCGTTTCCTCGCAGATATAATACACAGACAACCCGGATTCCTCCGAACTAACATTCGACAAGCAGAAGAGTTATACATTCGCGGTATTCAACTTGTATACCCTTTAAGCAAATTTGACGACAACGAATTTTCAGGAAGTTCTCAATTGTCATTGTTTTATTACCTAAATAGTGAGTATGAGAAAGCGGAATCAGTTTTGAAAAAAATCGGATCAATGCTTTACACAGTGAATCCTACATATGTTCTGTCGATAATCCTTGTGCACAGTGACCTTCAGCGACTTTGGCATGACGACTTTCTTCGAGGGATGGTGGAGCGGTTTGGTGATCCAGATTTGGATACCATACCCATTAAATGTAATGTATTAGCACTTTATATCTTTGTTCAGTGCTTGAGTAGGTTGTACAGTGAAGAGATGCATTCACAACAAAACAGACTCCAGAAATTAAAACGCTCTGTTCTAGCAAATATCAAACAACTAACAGGATTTGACTCGGAAACTCAGTTGTACACATCAATGGTTCTAACTCGTACAAAAGCCCTGATACTGGAACTATTGTCTAGTGTTCACTGATATATATGTGTATTTATAGAATGTATGTTTTTGTACCAGAAATATGTGCAAAAATTCATAAATTATCTCTCACTGAAGTCATGATCCAACCACAGTAACACATATAGTATTGAATGATAAATTTTGTGACTACTCGCACCCTTCTACAGTAAATAGTGATCAATATTGTACGTAAGGCAATAGAACACAGCAATTTCTACAATTCCAGGGACGTTTAATTGCCCGATGATACTAATCACCAAAACTTTACTGTACCTGCCTGTTGTATACAACTGACAAGATGTAAAACCATTTACGTGTAAATGTGAATTTTCTGATGACAAAATGGCATGAGTCCAGCTATTGGGTCAGCGTGGAGGTATTTTGTGCCATTACTAAATCTCTGATATCATTATTTAATTCTGTGATCGACATAACATGTTCCATGTTATTCTGTGATATCCGTATATGTTTCATTCTGTGATAGACATTACATGTACCAAGTTATTCTGTGATATCGGTATATGTTTAATTCTGTGATAGACATTACATGTACCAAGTTATTCTGTGATATCGGTGTATGTTTAATTCTGTGATAGACATTACATGTACAAAGTTATCCTGTGATAGACATTACATATACCAAGTTATCCTGTGATACCGGTGTAGCATGGTATTGTGAAGCATGGGGAAATGAACAGAGATCAAAATACCATAATGGTGAAATGAACCGTCTATTATTTTTTATTCGACCACTCGTGAGAAGAGTCATTGACTCAATGTATAATCATAAAAAAATAAAGTCTATAATTATCATAACATGTTCCTGGTTTGTGTTTTTTCATGGAGTCCAAATGAAGGATACCTGTAAAAACCAAACAGTACAGGACACCTGTACATGTTGAGGGCTGCGACAGGAAACAAAATAACTGATGACATCTTTTTTATCTATATAATGATTTTTTTTTCCTTAGACAAATGAGGACACATTATTTGCATACCATTCTATTAGATGTTAAAACCACACTACAGTAATTGATTACCACTCCTGAAGGTTCTGGGAGCGAACAGATAAACCTGTACAATGTTGACACTCAAAATTTATCGTAAGAGACATTTACCTAATAAGTCATTGGGCTATTTATTGTGTTCAGGAATACTTCATAAACATGAAGATATCAAGTTCATAATTTGTTTTGAATCATAGGGGTATACGGTACTCCAAGGAAAGACTACATTTATGATCCACATAAAATGTATGTAATCATTATTCTTAATATACCTCATTTCAGGCTTAATAATTGGCTGAAATCCAATTATATTTCGTATAAATTCGGTCACTGCAATTTACAGGGTTTTTTCCTAAACATTTAATATGACATGGAAAAGATATGAATAAAATATTTAGTGGTAAATAAACCAGTACTTCTTGACCCTGTCATGATTGGCAATGAAATTTAATTGCATGAAGTTTGAATCCAGGTTTAATGTAGTAATACAGTGTATCTAGATTCCTTGAGACAGTATATTGACCAGGACAACAACAGATAATTGTTATTTATTTCTAAAGAGGAGGTATATTGGCCATGACAACAAATAATTGTTATTAATTTCTAAAACGGAAGTATATTGACCAGGACATCAACAAATATATGTTATTTATTTCTAAAGAGGAGGTATATTGGCCATGACAACAAATAATTGTTATTTACTTCTAAAGCGAAGGTTTATTGACCAGGACAACAACAGATAATTGTTATTTATTTCTAAAGCGAAGGTTTATTGACCAGGACAACAACAAATAATTGTTATTTATTTCTAAAGCGAAGGTTTATTGACCAGGACAACAACAAATAATTGTTATTTATTTCTAAAGCGAAGGTTTATTGACCAGGACAACAACAAATAATTGTTATTTATTTCTAAAGCTGAGGTATATTGACCAGGACAACAACAGATAATTCTTATTTTTTATTTTTCCAAATTTCTCATGTCACAATGGACACTACAATACACTACAATAGTCTATTTCTAAATATATTAGTCTCATTGAACATTGTAACAGTATTAAAATATTGCCAAACATGTGTTGTTGTTACATATAAATGTTATATGTAATGTATACATATGAAAAAACACATTACATCTGTGCCTAACCAAATTTAAACATATAAATATACAATTGTATGTAATCGAAAAAACAATGATATGATCCAACAAGACAAAGGAGGCTTCATAAAATGTACAAAGTATAATATCACAGGTCAATAAGAAAGTAACATTAATAGAGATCTCAATCTAATTTGTTTGGTTTTTATTTTTAAAAAAAACTTCAAATCAATGCGTTCTGTTACTACCTGTAAACTCCCAATCAAAGTGTGAAGAGATTTCAGAGCATATTGCTCCAGAAAATAGATACTTCAATTCAAATTATAATTGTTTGTTTCTGTAAGAAAAGACTTGTTCATAAACTTAAAGACTTCAAAAATTTATATTGAAATAAATACATTCCAACTATTTACTGAAATATGATCATACCCTAATAACAGATTTCTCAAAGACACCAAGCACTATATGCATATTGTGAATTAGGCTTTCCCAATAAAATATTTAATCCTATCACAGGACTCAAAATTTGTTTGGGGGATCACCTATAAAATTCAATTGATGATTTGCTTAGTTTTAACAGGAACAGCTCTTAGCAGCAACAATAGGATACCTACCACAAATTCTATAACTTCTATATTTAAAGTACAAATGATTTTACTCTATGGTAATTGGTTACTGTAGAGAAATAATTGAAATATAATGTATATCTGGTTAATTTCACAACAATGATCTTTTCACCATTTTGTGGTAAATTAATATGATTGCGAAAATTTAATCTGTCAAATGAAAAGACAATGCATCAGACGTCTACTCACATCCAGAATGCGAAATTTGAATTTGTTTGAATATTCGATCAGTTTGAAAGAATAAAATGAAAGATTTGAACTGTGAAAGTTACCAACCGTTATACAGTACGTGGCAGTCTACAGCAGATCAAACATTGGACGGATGAAGTTAATATACATAAATTGCTGCCTGAAAATGTATTTTAAAGAAAATGTTGAATTTCAACTCATTTGTATAATTCTCCTATATTTTCTTCCTGGATTCTTGTGTTAATAACAAACCCATTTCATCATTCAACACAAAATACTGGTCATGTTCTTGATAAAAGATATATAGAAGATTTATTACGGCTTACTGTTGAATATCCTACACATTTCATTGGCTTGACAGAATATCAATATTTTTCACAAGTCTGAAACACAATTAAAGATACTGTTATTTCCTGTCATACATAAGAAAAATATATAGGACATTTCCACGGGAACCATAGAATTTTATATTTATTACATTTTTCAGAGTAAAAACTTACAAAAGTTACATAAAAACAATTACGTGCCAAAAAATTGAGGGAACTTTAGGATAAACTTTGTCATTAATTTGTATACATGTAAATGTAAAGTTGAAGCATACTTGGAATATCTTTAAAAAAAAAAATTAATGTTTCTTTCCGAACAGAAAATGGGAGTAAGTCAATCTAGTGGAAAACACTGTTTTGATTGGTTTAAAAAAAAAAACAACTTCATCATTTTAATAATTTCCTATATTTCACATGCAAACATTTAATAGAAAGCATATCCCATTTCACAAATTTCAATTTAATGAAACTCATTTAACATAAATGTAAAGTCTGCACCAAGAAAATAGATTTTAACTTTAAAGTTGAAATTTGCATGTTTTTTTTTTTTTTTTACATAATTCACACCAGTTCATATATACTGGAAGATAATTTGATTAATTAACAAAGTATATTACAGTAGTTGACAAGTGTTCATAATGTCAAATATTATTTATATTTTACAGACAAAAAAAAAAGCATGAAAAGTGTTCCTAGTGTTAGAAATGTAGACAAATTTACAGTAAGGTTTCCTCGCAATATACAAATAAAAGTAATCCTGTCGTTTCCTTGGACAAAGTCTGTCACATCATAGACTTTAAAACTAGGAACATATCAGCCAAATACCATGATTCTGCACCTTTCAGTTAATCAAAAGAAGTTATATTAGAAAGTTTGACTTCTGTGACTTTGAATATGGGTCAAGGTCATTTCTTTTCTGCAAACTTTGTCAGGCTTCATCACTGCAACCTACTAGCCGAATATCATGACATTTCATCTGTTGGTTATTGAGAAGAAGTTGTTCAAATGGAAAAGTTGACTCTGGACGAATGCAGCACCACAGCGTCAGCTTGGGCCATGTGGGCTAAAACGTAGCAGCAACAATAAAGTGTCCTTCCTACAGATACTGGTACATCATTAGACCAGTGGAACATTCCTCTCTGCTGTATGTCATCAATAGGCTGTAACATAACAATAATGGGTTATCAGGTTACTGCATTCTTAGAACTTTCTTTAACTCATGACTTCAGTATTGGTCTATAGATGTACATGAAGTTAGTCAAACAAGGTTAACTCATGACTTCAGTATTGGTCTATAGATGTACGTGAAGTTAGTAAAACAAAGTTAACTCATGACTTCAGTATTGGTCTATAGATGTACGTGAAGTTAGAAAAACAAGGTTAACTCATGACTTCAGTATTGGTCTATAGATGTATGTGAAGTTAGTAAAACAAGGTTAACTCATGACTTCAGTATTGGTCTATAGATGTACATGAAGTTAGTAAAACAAGGTTAACTCATGACTTCAGTATTGGTCTATAGATGTACGTGAAGTTAGTAAAACAAGGTTAACTCATGACTTCAGTTTTGGTCTATAGATGTACATGAAGTTAGTAAAACAAGGTTAACTCATGACTTCAGTATTGGTCTATAGATGTACGTGAAGTTAGTAAAACAAGGTTAACTCATGACTTCAGTATTGGTCTATAGATGTACGTGAAGTTAGAAAAACAAGGTTAACTCATGACTTCAGTATTGGTCTATAGATGTATGTGAAGTTAGTAAAACAAGGTTAACTCATGACTTCAGTATTGGTCTATAGATGTACATGAAGTTAGTAAAACAAGGTTAACTCATGACTTCAGTATTGGTCTATAGATGTACGTGAAGTTAGTAAAACAAGGTTAACTCATGACTTCAGTTTTGGTCTATAGATGTACATGAAGTTAGTAAAACAAGGTTAACTCATGACTTCAGTATTGGTCTATAGATGTACGTGAAGTTAGTAAAACAAGGTTAACTCATGACTTCAGTATTGGTCTATAGATGTACATGAAGTTAGTAAAAACAAGGTTAACTCATGACTTCAGTATTGGTCTATAGATGTACGTGAAGTTAGTAAAAACAAGTTTAACTCATGACTTCAGTATTGGTCTATAGATGTACGTGAAGTTAGTAAAACAAGGTTAACTCACCTTTAGGATGTTTTCCTCTATCTACAGATTTTCCTGAAAAATGAAAATAAAAAATGATGTAAACAAAAAAATAAATCCTAAGTAAGAAGTGAACTATCAATAAGTACAGAGTATTAGGGCACCTGCTCCTCCACTTAAAGCCTACTTCTATTTAATTTTCTTCTTTTATCAATACTAATAACAGTGAAGTCAAGTATATGTATATATACTACAGGTCACCAGAGACAAAGCCATGTGATGGGGACAGTCACATATCTTGAGACAGAACACCTGTAACCAACCAACCAATTTAGTGTTCAGTCTTTTAATTATACCCAGGCTTCAAGTTATATAGCTGAATGTTACCATTGTGATTTAAAATTAAGATACTAGTGTTTTATTTAATAACTTGATATATGTCATGTAGGGTAATATTTCATTCTAAGATCACCTGCAAACTCTATTCATATCAATCCCTGATGTCCGGCTACAGTAAGTAGTAGAGAGCTAAAATATCTCCTAGAAACAGATTATTTGTAAAATACCCTCTAAGTATCAATGCTGTCTATGATTCTACTAGAAACAGACCTATAGAATTTGGTAATGTGATGTGATTACTGGTACATTTAAAACTGAAAGTAGAATTTATAACCAAAGACAGAATCATAAGAATTTTACATGGCCATCATAAGAATCATTAACACTGATGAATGATTCCCAAAAATAATTTTACAGGACACAAAATTTTAACACAGTTCAATTATTCTGTAATTAAGGGGTTTTGGGCTCTGAATTAGGTATACTGCATATTGTTTTAGTGGGACCAATTAATATACCAAGCTTCATTATTCCAGTTTAAATGCTAGCAAAGTTATGTTCAGGACATTTGAACAAATAGCAATAACTTTGTAATTGAGAAGTTACAGACCCTGACATTGGTACACAGCACATTGTCTTAATATGACCAATAAATACACCATGTATCATTATCCTAGTTGAAATGCTAGCAATTAAATGCTATGCTCTGGGCACAAAATTTTAAGAAAGGGCAATAACTTTGTATTTTAGAGGTTGAGGGCCCTGACTCTGGTACATCGCACATCATATAAATATGACCAAATTGTTCATGACATGTTTTATTTTCCTAGTTCAAATGCAAGCAAAGTTATGCACCATTCAAGAAATTTTAACGAAGGGCTATAACTCCATAATTGATGGAATGTGGGTCTTGAATTTAGCACACTGCACATTGTCTGATGTATACACCAAGTTTCATGATCCGTGCGCATAACTGTGGGCAAACTTATGCTCTGGACATAACAGGATAAATGGAAAAGACAGATGGATGAACATAGCAACAACTATATAATTCCCCAAATTTTGAGGTAGCATTAAAAATTTTCTTTTGTTCTGTTATTGTTTACCTCACTTTCATTTGAGAACGTGACATCCTTTACTTAAATTGACCAAGATTTCAATGGTGGGCGTCGCCCATGAAGCAGAAATCACTTATTCTTCTAGAACACCTGGTCTTTATTCTCCACATGTAAATCTTTCTTTTGTTCATATTTTGTCCTAGTTTTATTGAATTTGAGTTTCACATATTGGTATATTCTTGATTTTTTTATATTTTTTTTCGAAAGTCAGTTGCATGTAAATTTTGTAAGTTACGGTAATCATACATGACAGCAAGGACTCAATTTTGTTTGGTTTGTGTAAAAACAAAACTTTACCTGTGGTTGACCAGTCTAGTAGGCTAGCATCAGATTCATATTTAGGAAGAGACCAGCCCCTTACCTGTGGTTGACAATCTATTATACAAACATCAGATTCTCATTTAGAATGAGACCAGCCCCTTACCTGTGGTTGACCAGTCTAGTATGCTAGCATCAGATTCATATTTAGGAAGAGACCAGCCTCCTCGATCAGACTTGAGGGAATCACCTACAATGCTGTCTGGACCATCCTTCCTCTGAAATATATAGGAACAAGTTTTTACATGAATGTACAAATAGGTCTGTGATCACCTTTTCCAAACTGGATTCATTTGTAAATTGAAAATGTGAATGAATGTACACCTTCATAGCTAGATAAAATTCATTCATTCATTCATTGGATGGACAGACAGACAGACAGACAGCATAGTTGTCTCCGGTTTTACCGACAAATACTACAAACACTATAGTTCCCTCTGGTTTCACTGACAAGGGACTATTGAAAGATAACCCTTCTTCGTGAATAACAAATATTTTTCCTCAAGTGTTGATGGGATATTATTCTAGGATGTGCATAAATCTAAACTGTAAGTTTGGCTGAGATTGAAATTTTTACAACAACAGGGTAGCCTGTGAGTGAACTTCACTAGAAATGAACTCGTCTTTTAATATTGAGGAGACATGTAGAGTTAAAATGTTCATTTACTTTACTTTAACAGGTAAGGGTAGCACAGGGTGGAGTGTTGGCCTATACAACCTCTGTTAAAGATTTGAGGTGTGTGGTTTGATGCTGTGGCAGTTTCTGTTTCTCAGCAAAATGAGAAACAGACTGATCCCAGCTGTTGAGATTGTGTCGGTGATTAAGACACTTTATTCAAATTGTTCTGAATGGCATGTGATGGACCTCTTGTATGTTTTTCATTGAGGTAGCTACCAGCTATAATCAGGCCTCACCTCAAAATGATTCTGACTGTTTATGGTGGAATAAAGTAAGCAAGAAAACAAACTGCCCAGGAGGAGGATTGGTCTCTCAACTTTTGTTCATACAATGTGAACTTCCCTGCCTAAGATTGCTCTATACCCAATTCAGTGAAAATTATCTATTGCCTAAGATTGCTCTATACCCAATTCAGTGAAAATTATCTATTGACTACTATTCCTGATAATGAAATGTTGAAGGCTGGCTGGACATGTACCTCTGTCTCCCTTCCTGGGGTCCAAGTTTTGCCTGCCTGTAAAAAGGAATCAGCACTCTCCATAGACTGACTGGCATACGCCTTGGAAGGTACAGATGATGCAAATCTGCAGATGTCAGAGAGAAGAGATTTAAAAAAGGTAAAAATATTGTCAACTCATCGGTTGAAAATGTAGTTAACCTAAGTTCTATGTTAAGATATGACAAGTTCATAGATGCATACATAACATCTGCAGCATCTACTACTATTATTACTACAATCTTAATGGCCTGTCAACACATAAAAGGTCATTAGGGCCATCTATAGTATGACTTCAGAATCTAAATTTAAAGGATGTTTCACAAAATATAAATAGGTCACAGAGTTAACTCCCGTTAACAAATTGTTGAACAGTAGAGCCAATTCTTTTTAGCTATTTCTGTACTTTATAGATAACAAGAAACAATATAATAGATATCAGAGTGAGCTCCCTTTAACATGTTGCTGAGCAGTATAAGAAAAATATAATCTGATGCCATAGCTATGCCTCTATTGAACTTAGCATTACCTGTCTGTTTTAGATGATCTTGATCGAGAAGGCTCCGGCAGAGTCTTGGAAGCCTTGGGAATAAAAGATTCTCCTACAAAATATGAAGAAATGAATTTTACATAAGGTGTATGAACAGTCACACATACAAAACAAAGAAGTTATGACAATTGTTGATCACTACAGTCTTAATATCCTGATTATTTGCTTCTTCAAACTTGCTTTGATTGCAAAATCTACAATAACAGTAAATTACAAGTGAAAGAAAAGTGGTTTACACTGTTCAATCAAAATTAGAAGACAAATTCTTTTGAAGTCTTGAACACAAATACCATTATCACCAAACACTGAAATATTTACCATCAGAATCCATTACATTCCACACTGGTCTTCTCTGGAAAAACAAACAAATATGCCCTTACATACAACAGTATTGCCTGTTTTATCTAATCAGATTTTGCGAAAGAAAATTAAAAGATATTCCTATTTGACAAGTACACCGTCTAATTCAAAATATGGTGTTTGATCTCAAGATTCATGCCAGCACAGAACCAGACATGCAGCTTTATATTTTCTCTAGTTCAGTACAACATTTTTACACTACTGCTCATCCGGTTTTACATTTGCAGTAATAGAATAAACCCTCCTTATATAGCCTCTTATTTTTAGTCTTGTTATTCAAAGGATTCATCTTTCTCCTTTTGTCTTTTTCAAATAAATATGGTTTAAGTCCCAACCATTAACCATTGTTAATACCATAATTTAGAGCTCGGGAAGTCTTGTGGAAGAAGACAACAGTTAATTTAACAGCCATTTTCTAAGGGGTCAACATATTTCATGTTGAAGTGCAGAGCAAGTAAATGTTGACTCCCAATACAGAGTCCTCTGACCTATGAACTCTGTCACCCATGAATGTATTGTGTTTGTTATTCATTAATGATATGATCTTTGACCACATACATATTTTTATCTTTGCATTCATGACTTCTGCACTTTGAATTTCTCTTGAATAATTTATGATTTATTAAATAATAAAAAAAATGATAAACCTAGTAAAAGAGTAATTAATTTTAATTACATTTCTGTTCTCTTGAATGATCAGATACATGAAAAGTATGAAATTCACTCAAATATGAGGTTAGTGCACCTCCACATCTAGAGTTTTGAAATTCCTTTCAACCACTTTTGATTTTTCTTGGTAGCCTCCAATGCTTGGTATTAAAGCAATTAGCATCACTGATGAGTTATAGAAAGACAAAACAGCTGTATGATGTAGCATCACTGATGAGTTATAGAAAGACAAAACAGCTGTATGATGTAGCATCACTGATGAGTTATAGAAAGACAAAACAGCTGTATGATGTAGCATCACTGATGAGTTATAGAAAGACAAAACAGCTGTATGATGTAGCATCACTGATGAGTTATAGAAAGACAAAACAGCTGTATGATGTAGCATCACTGATGAGTTATAGAAAGACAAAACAGCTGTATGATGTAGCATCACTGATGAGTTATAGAAAGACAAAACAGCTGTATGATGTAGCATCACTGATGAGTTATAGAAAGACAAAACAGCTGTATGATGTAGCATCACTGATGAGTTATAGAAAGACAAAACAGCTGTATGATGTAGCATCACTGATGAGTTATAGAAAGACAAAACAGCTGTATGATGTAGCATCACTGATGAGTTATAGAAAGACAAAACAGCTGTATGATGTAGCATCACTGATGAGTTATAGAAAGACAAAACAGCTGTATGATGTAGCATCACTGATGAGTTATAGAAAGACAAAACAGCTGTATGATGTAGCATCACTGATGAGTTATAGAAAGACAAAACAGCTGTATGATGTAGCATCACTGATGAGTTATAGAAAGACAAAACAGCTGTATGGTGTAGTTAATTGTATGGCTCTACCTTGCCTCGTCTAAATTAGTATTAAATAGTGCTATTCCTTTGTATATCTCTTGTACAATCTCTAAACACTTACAGGGCCTGTGACTTGTGAAACACTTTCAAATTCATCATCAACATCACTATCACCTGGTGAGTCTCGATATCCTGACAGACCTACAACAAAGTAATACCATTATTATGATAATCATCATTATACCGTATTTAAAAAGGTTTGTAATAGTATCATATATCACCACTATACATTGTAATAAAAAATTATAACTTTAAACAGTACAATTTAATATCATTAGCAATATATTGTTCTACAATGTAAGATATAATATCAAAATATTGTTGTAAGAGTGGATGAAATATTGTAATATATTGTTATATTGTAATACATAGTAATAAAAGCATTGTAATAATATAACAATTATACAATATGTACCTTAAACATTGAAATATTGTAACACATAGTTATAAAAAAACATGTTACAATACATGTACAATAGAAGACTAATACTATTAAGTATATTACTGTTAGTTTATACACAAGTCTCACCTGTTGGAGGTCGATCATCATCAGATTCGTAGTACCGTTCCTGGTTATCTTCATACAGAGTATCTAAAGAAACGACATCAGCAATAAAACACATATTTTATAATTTTCTGGAAGGAAACATTTCCTTACCTCTGCTTGTTAATTCTGGACCAGAAGTCCATCACACTAATTCTGACAAAGGTCTCCCAATCAGGAAGATTATTCAACATTTTTATTTCATATCAGGTATCCAGATTAGTTTTATCAAAAATTTTGATAACTTGGGTGTCTTTAAAATTAGTTTTCTCATCATTTTTACAGTATTTGAAAGAGAATTTCATAAAAGTCTTATTACAATTATCCAAGTAGAACTTCAAAATCTTATCAAAATTCATATTCAATCGAAAGACAAAATTGATTATACTAAAATCACCAAGAGTTATGCAGTGTGGTACTTAGATGACTTCTCTGATTAATTAGCATGTCATATAATTTAGCATGTAGATCCAATAATTTGTGATCAAGACAAGGAGAATTTCTTACAGTACCTAGTTATACACACAGTATATATATTATGCATTTGATGATAGGAAAAGGTCATCACTTCATATTTCTTGAAGAACTGAATCCGACCTTTTGGTGATGGAAAATGAAGACCATTCCAAATTTGAAACAACTTAAATTATAGAAAAATACTATTCAGAAAAGAATATGAAAGAATTTGTTAAACCCATTTTGCTAAAAAAAAAAAAAAAATTAGATCAGATCTTGTTTGGTTTCACTACTCCTACTTAAATCACCTTATGCCTTTATTTACATAAATCAATAATAAAGATTTAAAGCCGTTATTCACAAATATCTTTAATAAATGCAAAACAAATGATGTCACCCTGTTTGACTGCGATGGAAACTTGCAAGTAGTTTTACAATGCAAGGAAATCTTAGAACCCAGCTAAAACCCAACAGGCAAGAGACCTGAATATTTTTTCACTGCAGAACCCTGCAGAATTAAACCCTTTTAGTTACCAATAGGTGAGTATATGTTTTACCACTTCCCCGCCCACACAGCAATTTAATTCAATTAATACATGTTACCCCATATGTGACCCACAATGGCATGTTCCCTAAGGGTTTTATGACAAGATCATCCTTCAAATATAAAATCTATTTATTTTAAAACAATAACAAAGTCATTTCAACTTCTACTTATCACTTTAGTTTGCCCAGATGTATGGTCTTACTATGGGAGGAAACTAGAGTGCCCAGGGAAAACAAACGTAGTTGGACAGGTGACCCCTTTTCAAGTCTGTATTGAGAATCGAAATCTGGCTGTGAAAGTTGAGTGCATTACCACTGTGCCACCCAACAACCCAACCTTGCTTCCCTGTTAACAGCTGTCAAATAAAACTGAAACTGTTTCTTTCATAATGTAATGCATTCATAATTTACAAGCTATAAATATGTACATTGTAGGATATATCATTAATATTTGACTCAAAACATTTTTAATAAAATTCAAATTTGAATGAATAATGTTATATAATTAGAGAGTTGTACCAAGTTCTGAACAGTGGAACATGCGAACATAACAAATCAAAGTTCAACAAAACAAATATAGTTTACAGAGAAGTATAATCACACAAACTATAAGTTGTAGGTAGGTATTTTTAAACCAGAAAGAATACCTTGCAACAGACCTGGGAAACATTTCTAACACAGGTAACATTTAAACTTTACATCATTTTTAAAGATAAACTGTTATATAGAAACAGTTGTACATACAACAAGATATAGGTTTGCATTCTGAGATTCATTTTGCAGGGTGAACTACCTAGAAAATTCCATTTTTTTAGACAGATCTCTGTCACATTTTGAAACTTTTGTTTATATTAAATTTTGCTGCAAATATAACAACTCTAGATCATATTGATGTAATCTCTACCTGAGATAGTGAAGTTCAATGTTCTACAAGCTGACCTGTGGTGCCCACTTTATGTGACAATCTCTGACCAGAGTCAACTTAACCATCAAGAAGTAGTGAAAATCCCAATTTCTATATATAGTAACAGAAGCAGAAATAACAGCTGATCTACATACCTGCTACAAAGCTGTCTGTGGGCTGAGGCCCTGTGTAAAGACTGAAATATACACAGATAGCAAACCAAAGGTCAGTAGAGGTCAGAGGTAAATTCTTCTACATATGGGTGAAATGTCACATGACGTCCAGTCAGAATACCTTTAGCTGTGGGGACTGTAGCTCATAGTCTGATCAATTTGATATTTCTTTGTCAATAGTTATGAAAAATAGCAATTACCGGCTATTAAAAACAAATTTTCTAATACCACATGAATCTCCATTTCATTTCAGAATTTATAAAAATAAGTTCAAGAATATCCAATTTAGTACAAGGTTGCACACATGTGTGATGGAAAATAAAGACATACACGTTTTGTTGGTGAACTTCAATTGACCCAGATTATTGATTTTGAATGCCCTCGATATGATAGCTTCATGGCTGTCGGTATAATATACTTAATTAGATTTTTTTTTTTTTTTCGTTAAGCAATGAGTTACAAATCTCAGAGCTAAAGGTACATCAAACAAGTATTAGTAATAGGTAAAAAGAACAAGTGCAGTACTAAAATTTAACTAAAAATTTACTACTGAATTCCAAGTGAATTGTATACAATTTCATACTATGAGTAGCTAGCTTATAGGAAAATAACATTTCTCGGTTCATTGAGACCTAATTGTGGAATCTACAAGCCCTCGGCATCCCTCTAGAGGAATTTTACACCTCTGTGTAATGTCCTTGATTCACTTTTTAAAAATCCTGAATTTGAAACAGAATGGATTCATAGAAGTCAATAAAGAATGTGGTTCTTATTGCTTATACTGGTAGGTAATACGGATGATGCAAATCTTATAAAATCTCTTCAATGTGTTGAACACCGCTAAACAACTGCTGTGTATACAGGCGAATACAGGTCTGGGAACTTACATATTCTCTCAGTGAATTTTGTAGAAGATGACATCTGTCTATCTTAGACTGAGTTTACTGATTTCTGTGCATTTGTGACAGGACAACTTCTTAATTCTTTTCAATTTTTAAAATTTGAAATGTTAAATGACCATAAAAAGATAAATAAATGTTCAAGAGATATGTTTTTTTAAAGGATTTATATGTGGTATTTTCTCTTTTTTTTGGTTATTACAGTTAAAAACTCAATAAAAAATTGGACATTAAAAGAAAATAAATTTGGTTGCTTGTTAGATAATATAAACACAGAAACATGTTATTAATTTTAGCTGCAGTGAACAGTATTAGTGAGGAAAAATTTGAATAAATAGAAATACAAGACAACAAAGTTACAGAAATAATAAAACGAATATCATTGCACTTAATCACTCACCAGTATTGGAAAACCTGACATATAATGATAATATTACTAAAAACAAATAACATTAAATGGGTTTGTATACCATTAAATTGTAAACAAAGTCTTTAAGCAGATGTGACTTCAATTTAATTTACAGTTTTTATTTGTATCATTTTTTTTCCAAATTTTTTTCCTGTACATAATCCAAAAACAATTATATAGAGGGCTTAAATCTTCATGTGAAGTGAAACATATCTTTTTTTCTCACATTTCAAAAAATGTTTATCAATAAGTGTGAGAATTATTGACCAAACTTTACCCCATATTAAATTATATCTGGAAAACCACCTTTCCAAAATATGAGCAAATACATCACTGTTTTTGAAAAATGAATTATAATTCCCTCTAAAATAAAATAGTTACTTAATTCTCTACATGTTGTCTGTTTCTAAACATGTGATTCACTTCACATGAAGATTTACATTGTTTTCAATCTTTTGTGAAGAAATACTTACTTTATATTTAATTTTACATTGGCTTCTTGCTGTCGTTCTCTCATGATCTGAAATAAGAAAATTTTCAGTCATTACATGCCTTGTCACTTTCTAAAAGAGCAGCACAGGGGCCCCAGCCCTAAAATCCATACTCATCTAATTACCAACCAGAATGAGAACAAGAGATCCCAGAGGGATCTAGGCGCCCACCATTGTTTGATCTTTATATACATTTTGAAAGTTGGATCCTATCCCTTCTTTTCTCTGTTTTTGCTCTTAATGATAAGACATTCGAACATTCCTTTGCATAAAATAGCTATGATAATCTTTACCTGCCAAATCCAAAATGGCCACCTGGAAGCCATTTCGTTTCTTCTGATCAGTCCCATAATCAAACGGGCACAAGGAGAGGCCAAAGGGAACATAAGTATGAAATTTGAGAGACATCCATACAGTACTTCTTATGAAATAGCAATAACAGTCTTTACTAGGCAAAATCTGTCAGCCATTTTTTTTTGTCAGTACCAAAATCAAATGGGCACCACTAGGGACCAAGGTGAACCTAAATATGCAATTTGAGAAAGATCCATCCTGTACTTAAAAAGAAATAGCAATAACAAAAATTGTTTACGGAAGGACGACAGACCACAGATGCATACCAGTTTGAACAGCCCACCATCTGATGATGGTAAGCTAAAAATACTTTGAACAAAAATTTAAACACTTCAAAGACATTAACTTTTTACATTATGAGAATGGGTAATTGAAATAACTGCTACTTTCACAAACTCATCAGTCAGGATTAAATTTTTTTTGCTGTGACAAATGTCACATTTGATATTGCCTGAGGTTTGATAAAATAAAAATTCTAAGCCTTGCTTTATCTATCTCACAGGAACGGAAACTCAATATTTGTAAATTGAATCCCATGCAAGATTGTCTCAGCATTAGTAGAACTTACCCGACTTAGTTTATACCCTGTTTTTGATATGTTTCGAGCACCTTCTTTGCGTAGTTCCTCCCCGTCCTCTACAAAAACCAAACAACATTGTTAGAGAATATGTCAGATTCATATTCTACTATCTAAAAAAATACAACTTACTTTCTCTTTTGGCAATCACATACTGTCAACCTAGAACTAACAACCACCAAACTACAAAGAAAAGTTTGTGAAAATGTACAACATGGAGGTTAACCTACAAAAATAATTTTTGTTAAATATGCATCGACAGAAAATGCATTAAATACTGATCATGTATCATCAGTTTCATAAAAGTTTCTAATACATCATTTCCTCTAGATACACACAGATGGTTCCAGCACTAAAAATCTTATTAATATGTTTCATATCCTTTAATAGCCCAAAGAGCCAACATGTTACCAGACTCAAAGTCAGGAGGATGGGCTTACTACAGGGGAAAAAACCAGGATGCCAACATGTTACCAGACTCAAAGTCAGGAGGATGGGCTTACTACAGGACAAAAAAAACCAGGATGCCAACATGTTACGAGACTCAAAGTCATGGGGTGGGCTTACTACAGGACAAAAAAAACCAGGATGCCAACATGTTACCAGACTCAAAGTCATGGGGTGGGCTTACTACAGGACAAAAAAAACCAGGATGCCAACATGTTACCAGACTCAAAGTCAGGGGGATGGGCTTACTACAGGGGAAAAAAACCAGAATGCCAACATGTTACCAGACTCAACGTCATGGGGTGGGCTTACTACAGGACAAAAAAACCAGGATGCCAACATGTTACGAGACTCAAAGTCAGGGGGTGGGCTTACTACAGGGGAAAAAACCAGGATGCCAACATGTTACCAGACTCAAAGTCAGGGGGACGGGCTTACTACAGGGGAAAAAACTAGGATGCCAACATGTTACCAGACTCAAAGTCATGGGGTGGGCTTACTACAGGACAAAAAAAACCAGGATGCCAACATGTTACCAGACTCAAAGTCAGGGGAAGGGCTTACTACAGGGGAAAAAACCAGGATGCCAACATGTTACCAGACTCAAAGTCATGGGGTGGGCTTACTACAGGACAAAAAAAACCAGGATGCCAACATGTTACCAGACTCAAAGTCAGGGGGACGGGCTTACTACAGGGGAAAAAACCAGGATGCCAACATGTTACCAGACTCAAAGTCATGGGGTGGGCTTACTACAGGACAAAAAAAACCAGGATGCCAACATGTTACCAGACTCAAAGTCAGGGGGAAGGGCTTACTACAGGGGAAAAAACCAGGATGCCAACATGTTACCAGACTCAAAGTCATGGGGTGGGCTTACTACAGGACAAAAAAAACCAGGATGCCAACATGTTACCAGACTCAAAGTCAGGGGGACGGGCTTACTACAGGGGAAAAAACCAGGATGCCAACATGTTACCAGACTCAAAGTCATGGGGTGGGCTTACTACAGGACAAAAAAAACCAGGATGCCAACATGTTACCAGACTCAAAGTCAGGGGGAAGGGCTTACTACAGGGGAAAAAACCAGGATGCCAACATGTTACCAGACTCAAAGTCATGGGGTGGGCTTACTACAGGACAAAAAAAACCAGGATGCCAACATGTTACCAGACTCAAAGTCAGGGGGAAGGGCTTACTACAGGACAAAAAAAACCAGGATGCCAACATGTTACCAGACTCAATGCCAGGGATTGGGCTTATTCAAAGACAATGAGTACAGGGTGCAAACTTAACCTGACTCAAAGTCAGCATTGGGTGAATTTCAGGACAATAAGACCAGGGTATCAACATATTTCCTGACCTAAGGTCAGAGTGTTGGGTTACTTTAGGACAATAAGTCTGGGTGCCAAGATCTTACTCAACATAGAGTCAGGGGTTGTGATTATTTCAGGACAATAAACCCAGGGTATCAACATATTGCCTGACCTAAGGTCAGAGTGTTGGGTTACTTTAGGACAATAAGTCTGGGTGCCAAGATCTTACTCAACATAGAGTCAGGGGTTGTGATTATTTCAGGACAATAAACCCAGGGTATCAACATATTGCCTGACTTTAAGTCAGGAGGCAGGCTCATTGACAACATGACAATGACACAGTATTGGTTGGTAAAGCTAACAGAACAGCAATATATAAATATTTTGAAACATTTTCTTCAGGTTGGTAAAGTCAATTGAACCAGTTCTTAATAGAGGTCTAATAACACAACCAGTAGAAAATTAGTGTGACATTTCCATGACTACACGGTCACCTTCACCTTATAAAACAACCAGTAGAAGATTAGTGTGACATTACAATGACTACACATTCACCTTCACCTTATAACACAACCAGTAGAAGATTAGTGTGATATTTCCATGACTACACGGTCACCTTCACCTTATAAAACAACCAGTAGAAGATTAGTGTGACATTTCAATGACTACACATTCACCTTCACCTTATAACACAACCAGTAGAAGATTAGAGTGTGACGTTTCCATGACTACACGGTCACCTTCATCTTATAACACAACCAGTAGAAGATTAGAGTGTGACATTTCCATGACTACACGGTCACCTTCACCTTATAAAACAACCAGTAGAAGATTAGAGTGTGATGTTTCCATGACTACACGGTCACCTTCATCTTATAACACAACCAGTAGAAGATTAGAGTTTGACATCTCCATGACTACAGGGTCACCTTCATCTTATAACACAACCAGTAGAAGATTAGAATGTGACGTTTCCATGACTACAGGGTCACCTTCATCTTATATCACAACCAGTAGAAGATTAGAGTGTGACATTTCCATGACTACACGGTCACCTTCACCTTATAAAACAACCAGTAGAAGATTAGTGTGACATTACAATGACTACACATTCACCTTCACCTTATAAAACAACCAGTAGAAGATTAGTGTGATATTTCCATGACTACACGGTCACCTTCACCTTATAAAACAACCAGTAGAAGATTAGTGTGACATTACAATGACTACACATTCACCTTCACCTTATAACACAACCAGTAGAAGATTAGAGTGTGACGTTTCCATGACTACACGGTCACCTTCATCTTATAAAACAACCAGTAGAAGATTAGAGTGTGACATTTCCATGACTACACGGTCACCTTCACCTTATAAAACAACCAGTAGAAGATTAGAGTGTGATGTTTCCATGACTACACGGTCACCTTCATCTTATAACACAACCAGTAGAAGATTAGAGTGTGACATCTCCATGACTACAGGGTCACCTTCATCTTATAACACAACCAGTAGAAGATTAGAATGTGATGTTTCAATGACTACAGGGTCACCTTCATCTTATATCACAACCAGTAGAAGATTAGTGTGTGACATTTCCACGACTACTGAGTCACCTTACAGTTCTTATGACACAACCAGTAAAAGATTAGTGTGACGTTTCCATGACTACAGGGTCACCTTCACCTTATAAAACAACCAGTAGAAGATTAGTGTGTGAGGTTTCGATGACTACACGATCACCTTCATCTTATAACACAACCAGTCGAAGATTATAGTGTGACGTTTCGATGACATCACGGTCACTTTCATCAGACAAATAACCAAAGTGTAGCTAAATTTGCACTGACATACATGTATATATTATATATATAGAGGCTCATTTCCAGGCATGGAAAAATGCAGTTATGTCGTAAATATCATCCATATATTCCAGTGTGTCTGACACCAGTGCTGTTAACCCTTTCGTGGAAACCAAACCCCTTACTGATAGGTAAATTTATCTTTGATATATATCGCAATTCATTCATTCTAGAGAAATCACACGAGCTAGAGAATAACAGATTAAATTCATCAGGTGAATGTTTCTAAATCACAAACTTCAAAACTTTCATCTGGTGCTGTTCACCTGTTTTCCTGTTTATTAAAACATAGTACCATATATGTTCATGTATTTAACTTTGGTTCCAAAACTGTACAACAATTATTCGACATGTATGTTATAAAAATAGGCTCCAAAACCGCACAACAATTCTTCAACATGTATGTTATAAAAATAGGCTCCAAAACCGCACAACAATTCTTCAACATGTATGTTATAAAAATAGGCTCCAAAACCATACAACAATTCTTCAACATGTATGTTATCTCCAAAACCATACAACAATTCTTCAACATGTATGTTATAAAAATAGGCTCCAAAACCATACAACAATTCTTCAACATGTATGTTATAAAAATAGGCTCCAAAACCATACAACAATTCTTCAACATGTATGTTATAAAAATAGGCTCCAAAACCATACAACAATTCTTCAACATGTATGTTATAAAAATAGGCTCCAAAACCATACAACAATTCTTCAACATGTATGTTATAAAAATAGGCTCCAAAACCGCACAACAATTCTTCAACATGTATGTTATAAAAATAGGCTCCAAAACCATACAACAATTCTTCAACATGTATGTTATAAAAATAGGCTCCAAAACCATACAACAATTCTTCAACATGTATGTTATAAAAATAGGCTCCAAAACCATACAACAATTCTTCAACATGTATGTTATAAAAATAGGCTCCAAAACCATACAACAATTCTTCAACATGTATGTTATAAAAATAGGCTCTAAAACCGTACAACAATTTTTCGACATGTATGTTATTAAAATGAAGTCTCTGGGACTGATATTATTAGTGTTAAGTTGTTTACTTACCTAATAATTCTATGGCATCATCCTGTTCATTATCCATCTCCACCTCTCCGTAGCCGGAGTCATCTTTCGATTCTTCAGTGATCATTTGTTCCAATTCTTTGCGATGTGACTTTGCATCAACATGACGGCCTCGCACACGACTTGTACTGAATCATAAAACACCAGCTGCCATGTAAACATGTAGTATACATACAAATATATACATTGTATTATTTTCAGAAATTAACATATAAGGAGATAAGATAGAATCATATATGAGAAGCATATTGTAAATTCAATATTGCATCATCTTACCGGCCAGTCCTTATATAACATATTTGATATATGAAAAGAAATAGATATGCTCCACTATACAGATTAACCCCTACAATTCCTTATCGAACTCTCTACATACAGAAGTTTTACTTCAAATGTGGTCAAGTGTGGCTACTGACTTTGTGTGATCATTTCGTAAATCTTATGAAGTACTTGTAGAGTGAATACCTCCATGTTAACACACTATTTCCAGGACAATTTTGACATGAGATTTGGAGATTTGAAACTATTCTTTTGCCAATGAAAATTTTCTGAATGCACTAATATCACATTGCATGGATTTGTTCAGAACTCTGCTATTCCTGCATAACCCCTAACTTCAAATCTATATTATGAGTGTGGTTAAGGTACGGTCCCTCAGAGTCCAAGTTAAAAACAAGAGAAGTTAGAGAGTCGCATTGATTAATATATTGTAGAATCATTCATTTTTATTTCAGCTTTGATAAAAATATTCTTAGTTTCATGCTGGTATGAAAGAAAAAAAGATTTGTAAACTAAATGTGCAAATTAAAAGCTACATGTAGTGTACAAACAATGAAAAAATTAATTGTTAGATTTATTTTCATTAATTTTGTATCCATTGAATCCTATGAACTTTTATCTCCATGAATTAGTAATATATATCAATTATGGTGATTTGATAGTCAATTGCTCACAAATAGTATTTTTGGTGAAACACAAAATTTGTGCCAAACAAAAATTTATATTTCCTTCACAACATTTTCTTAAGGTTGGTAATGAAGTTTTTTGTAACACAACCAATAGATTTCAGTGCGAGATTTCAATGACAACACTGCAGACTTCTTAAGACAAATGACCAGTGTGAAGTGTGTGAGCACTGATACATGGAGTTTGTGAGATGTTACGGAATCAACTATCTATTTCATCTGTACTAGCCTGTGTATACTATGACAGAAAATAGTGAGACAAGATGGTAAACAGATTATAGAAAAAGAGTACACCAGATGGTAACAATGCATTGTAGTTGATTCAGCCACGCTTGGTCATAAATGTGTGAGAGTCTATGGCCCCCCTCGTCCCTGTTTCTATCTGATATTGAAATAACCTTATACTTAATACATACATCCCATTAAAGCACATCATACATACTTGGCAATTTTCACTGTTTCTTCAGTGATATTTTGCTTTTTTTCATTCATGATTTCCCCAGCTAGTGGGTCATCGTCATCTTTCCTGTTTGTCCTTGGCCCTTTATACTTGTTGGATTGATATTGTACATTATCGTCATCCTACAGAAGAAAAGTTATTATAACATATAGACAACGCTGTATTAACACAGTTGCTTTTCTTCTGCCCAATCATATGGCTTTTCCCTAGGTACTGCAGTTTCCTCAAACAGTCTAATCCCTCACACAATCCCAACAAACAAGAATGATTAATCATCATAAAAATTTCATGGTAATTTTATAATTTTGGCTGATATATCCATGAAATATAAGAACACTGAAATTTTAAGAATACATACTATTGTAGTAGTAACAGTGCATAATTATGTTTTACAGCACAAAGAACGAAGACACCTTTTGTTGAAATTATAGTGACCTTCAGGGTAATTTTATTCCTCTCTGTTGTCATTGTCATTTTGATATCTATCAGGCTCTATCTACTGTTTATGTAGGTGACATCATCTAAAATGCTTCCTGTTTATTCTACATTCCTTTCAATAATATTTATTGGAGTGTCTGCATCAGTTCTTGTATAAAATGGAACACCAGACACTTGACAAATCAACAAATGGCCACACATCACATATATCAATTTTTTCTCTCAAAAAATACACTAGTGAATAAAAGACCCATAACCTAAAGACAAAGGTCTACATCGTTTAGGATAAATACACAAACCAGTCCTGTTGAAGCCCAAGCCTTCCCGATATCGCCTGCGAATGGATCAGTCTTCTTCTTCTGTTTAGAACTACCAGACTTCCCTGGTGTATCTTCAAACATTTCATCAAATGAAGAAAATCCAACTTTATTATCAGCATTCCAACCTGGTGGTTTTTGTTTTCTTCCTGGCAATAGATAAGTAAACATTTCTTTTAAAATGTCACCGACACATTTCATATGTCCTTGATTGAAGATAAGTAGTACATGCATATATTTAATTCTTGTCCAATTCCAAGGAATGTTTTAATTTTATATTTGTATAAATAAAGAGGATGGGAATAAAAAAGATGAATGGTGTTGACGCCTACCTCTTAATGTATATTAATTCCAACATAACTTTATAATAAAAGAAGATTAGTCAATTTAAAAAACAGATTTCAGGAAATATATTTAGTCTCTTTGTTAAAATTAATTCATTTGATAAATTCAATAATATATGACAAGCACTTGACAAGCATCAATATGGACATGCTGTGAGTGTGGACTTTCACTTTGTATCAAAGTCAAATCACATTCTATTCATTATGGAGAATGCCCTGGATATGGAGAGTGCCCAGGATGTTGACGATACAGTGATGTCATTCTTATTAAGCATGGAGTGCCCAGGATGTTGACAACAAAGTCATATGTCGTTCTTTTTAAGTATGGCGTGCCCAGGATGTTGACAACAAAGTCATATGACATTCTTATCAAGCATGGAGTGCCCAGGATGTTGACAACAAAGTCATGTCACTCTTATCAAGCATGGAGTGTCAAAGATGTTGACAAAAAAGTCATATGGCATTCTTTTTAAGTATGGAGTGCCCAGGATGTTGACAACAAAGTCATATGTCATTCTTATTAAGTATGGAGTGCCCAGGATGTTGACGATACAGTGATGTCATTCTTATTAAGTATGGAGTGCCGAGGATGTTGACAACAAAGTCATATGACATTCTTATCAAGCATGGAGTGCCCAGGATGTTGACAACAAAGTCATGTCACTCTTATCAAGCATGGAGTGTCAAAGATGTTGACAAAAAAGTCATATGGCATTCTTTTTAAGTATGGAGTGCCCAGGATGTTGACAACAAAGTCATATGTCATTCTTATTAAGTATGGAGTGCCCAGGATGTTGACAACAAAGTCATATGTTGTTCTGTTTAAGTATTGAGAGTGTTGAAGATGTTGACAACAAAGTCATGTCACTCTTATTAAGCATGGAGTGCCAAGGATGTTGACAACAAAGTCATATGACATTCTTATCAAGTATGGAGTGCCCAGGATGTTGACAACAAAGTCATATGTCATTCTTATTAAGTATGGAGTGCCCAGGATGTTGACAACAAAGTCATATGTCGTTCTTTTTAAGTATTGAGAGTGTTGAAGATGTTGACAACAAAGTCATGTCACTCTTATTAAGCATGGAGTGCCCAGGATGTTGACAACAAAGTCATATGACATTCTTATCAAGTATGGAGTGCCCAGGATGTTGACAACAAAGTCATATGTCATTCTTATTAAGTATGGAGTGCCCAGCATGTTGACAACAAAGTCATATGTCGTTCTTTTTAAGTATTGAGAGTGTTGAAGATGTTGACAACAAAGTCATGTCACTCTTATTAAGCATGGAGTGCCCAGGATGTTGACAACAAAGTCATATAACATTCTTATCAAGTATGGAGTGCCCAGGATGTTGACAACAAAGTCATATGTCATTCTTTTTAAGTATGGAGTGCCCAGGATGTTGACAACAAAGTCACATGGCATTCTTTTTAAGTATGAAGAGTGTCCATGATTTTGACAACAAAGTCACATGGCATTCTTTTTAAGTATGCCCAGGATGTAGACATGCTGTCATGTATATACAATGTAGCTGACTTTTACAAAATCAGATTTAATCAGTTGAATATTGCCATACTTTAAACAATGGCCATCAGAGACGGGTTATGCTCCCCAAATGGAACAAAATTTAAGTATGAAAAATAACAAAGGGCAGTAAGAGAGTTTTAAGATTCTTGTACATGCCCTCCTCGCTGAGATCTACCTACATAGGACGTTTCGTGTTGATATCTCTTATATGCTTTGTGTAATGCCCCAGACTAAATCTAAGAATGAAAAATAACCAAGGGCAATAACTACTTAATTATGCATATAAGAATGAAGGTTCTTGTGCATTGCACTTCTCCTTGTTAAACTCTATCTACATAGAAAGTTTTGTGTTGATATCTTTTATAGGTGTAGTGTAATGCCCCAGACTAAATTTAAGTATGAAAAATAAACAAGGGCAATAACTCCTTACTTATGTAAATGGGAATGAAGGTTCTTGTGCATTGCACTTCTCCATGTTGAAATTTAAACTATTTATGAAGTTTCATGTTGATACCTCTAATAACTTTAGTGTAATGCTCCAGACTAAATTTAAGTATGAGAAATAACAGCTGGCAATAACTCCCAAAATATGCAAAAAGAATGATAGTTTTGGTGCACTGCTCTTCTCCTTGGTGAAATCTATCTACCTATTAAGTTTTATGTTGATACTTCTGTATTCCCTAACTGCAAGTCAACTTTTTTAAAAAGCATTGCTTATATGATAACTTTGATTCGAGACAGGGCAAGACAGACTTGAATAACAATATTTCATATTATGTAGATAAGGTCTTTTCACGGTAAAAGCTTTAAAGGTAGGGTTTTGTATCACCTTAATGCAAATCTAGAATAATTTTAGGGCTACACTTAACATTTTTGATCTTTTCAAAACTATGAAAAGCAAAAAATGTGGGTGGGTGTATCATTATGCATGGGTTATTGTTAAACAATAGTTATGTTGCCATATATCAGTAACTGTGTCCTGTCTGACATCCAATTTATATTAAAAAATAAAAGTAGATTTTGTTCCAATATTCACTATCATGTCAAATTTACAGGGGAATTTGTTTTATCCTATCCTGCAAGCACAATATCTGCATCAGCCTGTTAATAATGATCAGTAAGTATGATTGATCAAGTCCCTCATGCTGTAAGTATATGTACAATAAGCATTCAACCAGCTATAATCTAATAATTGTATATTTTTTACAGTAATTTAGAAAACATTCCATTACAATCCAGAGGTCTGGATCATACACATGCAGTGAAACCTCCATAGAGTGAACAAGATATTTTTGCTTGGAATTGAAATGTTTTTTTTTTGTGGGTGGTGAGTACCTCACTGAACAACATACAGGAGGCCTGTCACATGCCACCCTCAGCAATTATGGTAAAGAGTCATGCTAAAGGACGCAATCATATAAACGTACACCAGTTCATTTCTTAGCTTCCAGAGAAAAACAAACAAGGGGAGGTAACCACATATCTCAGGTCTTCACCTAAGGTTATGCAAACAAATGCTCCACTGAATGAACAGTTGCAGGCGTTGTAGAAACAGGGTTATCCTAACTGAAATATTTATTGTACAGGGTTTTCCATAATTTTGTTAGTAGTAGGCTGTGTAGTGAAAGTAGGAGGCTGGCCTGTCATGTACGTGTAGTCGTGTACGGAACATTATTACGGAACTGGATTGGTGTAGGTGGCCAAATGATCAAAGTAGCCGGTCAAATTGGCCAGCAACCGGCTCTTATGGAAAACCCTGTTGTATGAAAGGAAGCTACAGAAATGGACAAATAATTAATATAACTATATAGACACATAAAGTTTCTACACGATGTAAGTCTACTAATCATGAATTAGAAACTTTATCAGGAATTATATTAATGTTACGGTTCAACGGGTGTCCAGATTACACAGGTTCACTATGAACAACAGAAAATATAAAGATGAACCATTGATGTTATTGCTTTTTAACAGATAATGTAGGTTTGTGGAGCAGAGAAAAATCTTGTTTCAGGCTGATTGTACAGTTTTAGTTGAGACAGGTTAATTAGTGATCGGTCAGCTTATACAGGTAATATTTTAGGTCAGTTTATACAGGTAATACTTTAAGGTCAGTTTATACAGGTAAAACTCTAAGGTCAGTTTATACAGGTAAAACTCTTAGGTCAGTTTATACAGGTAATACTTTAAGGTCAGTTTATACAGGTAAAACTCTAAGGTCAGTTTATACAGGTAAAACTCTTAGGTGAGTTTATACAGGTAAAACTCTAAGGTCAGTTTATACAGGTAAAACTCTTAGGTCAGTTTATACAGGTAATACTTTAAGGTCAGCTTATACAGGTAATACTTTAAGGTCAGTTTATACAGGTAAAACTCTAAGGTCAGTTTATACAGGTAAAACTCTTAGGTGAGTTTATACAGGTAATACTTTAAGGTCAGTTTATACAGGTAATACTTAAAGGTCAGTTTATACAGGTAAAACTCTAAGGTCAGTTTATACAGATAAAACTCTTAGGTGAGTTTATACAGGTAAAACTCTTAGGTGAGTTTATACAGGTAAAACTCTAAGGTGAGTTTATACAGGTAAAACTCTTAGGTGAGTTTATACAGGTAAAACTCTTAGGTCAGTTTATACAGGTAATACTTTAAGGTCAGTTTATACAGGTAATACTTTAAGGTCAGTTTATACAGGTAATACTTTAAGGTCAGTTTATACAGGTAAAACTCTTAGGTCAGTTTATACAGGTAATACTTTAAGGTCAGTTTATACAGGTAATACTTTAAGGTCAGTTTATACAGGTAATACTTTAAGGTCAGTTTATACAGGTAATACTTTAAGGTCAGTTTATACAAGTAATACTTTAAGGTCAGTTTATACAGGTAATACTTTAAGGTCAGTTTATACAGGTAATACTTTAAGGTCAGTTTATACAGGTAATACTCTAATAATGTTATATACATCCATACCACCAACAATGTTATGAAGTACTTGATATATATTAAAGAAGTTTCATATTGTATGAGTTATATATACTCAAGGGATAAAGAAATGCACAGTACACTTTGAAGATGATTCTAGGCAAGATGTCGAGCATAATGTTCAACATTTTAAAGTAAGAATGAAGGTTAATCCATACAGAACGAACTGCAAAATCAATGATCTGTATCTGGTAAGTGATTCAGGAGTAATTGAAGGGAATTGAAAGAGACCTCTGTAATCTGAAATCGAAATGGACTGACTGTGGGAGCTGGCTAGTCAATAACGCGTATGTCCCCCATTCGTTCTCTCCACAGCCCTGATTCTCCTTGGCATGGAGTTAATGAGTGAGTTTATTCTCATTAGGATGTTGGCCCATTTTCCCAAGAGGACTTCTCTCAGTCGGGCCAGAGTAATAGGGGAGGCTAATGTTGTTGAAACCGTCTATCCAGCTGGTCCCACAAGTGCTCAATAAGGAATAGGTCAGGGCTGTATGTAGGTTGATATTGTTGATGGTGAGAAAGTCATGACATATCCTCGTTACATGGGGCAGAGCATTATCCTGCTGGAATGTGAGGTTGTTTTGCTGCAATAATGGGACAACATAGGGTCGGGGGATCTCATCACTATACCTAGCGACAGTTAAATTACCCACTACCACAACCAGTGGTAATTTAACTCTATATGAGATCCCTCTCCACAACATAAGTGATCCATCCCTAAACATATGTGTCTCTACTACAAAGCTGTCGGCAAGACAACCTGCCTCCACAGCCTCAATGGGAATATTCTGGGGGCATGTGTCGCCACCAAAGCCACACATTCCCGTAGTTTTTGCATGGATAGGACTGTTATGAGTACCTATGGTATGAAGGGCAGATGCAGTGGCAGTAAGGTGCCGATTGCTCAAATCAGCAAAAATGAATAAAACTGTGACATTGTGAAGTTACGTGCGGAAGCCCAGACCTGCAACCTGACCAGTTTCCCTTACATGTCTAACAAAAAGTTCTATAGTGCAAATATGAACACAGAAATGTATGGCAACCCATGTTTGCTTTTGACCTTGCACAATCATTGCAATTGCTTGACCTCTCTGAACTTCTGTCAATCGTGCCATCAGTTAATGCTATCAGAAATTAATCAATATATAGGAAAATAGTGTGATTCTTTGATGACTACCTAATGGTATGACGTGCAGTGTAACTCAATGTCATATCACTACTGTGCATGCGATTTTCCCGTTTCATGCTTTCCCCGGAAGACATCATCATGCAGTATAATAATGCAACATTCGAAACAGGACCATATGCTCTGTAAGCTAGAGAGTTGCTTGACTGATTTTCATTGTTTTTTAACAATGATGTAATCCTGCGTTTCTTTATCCCTTGAGTATATATCTGATATACAGAGGCTAACAGTGACACCTGGCAGTGATTCTGTAGGATACTTCAGGTTCATAACAATCTTTACAAGGATTAACGGTCCTACTATAAGGACACCACATGGGAGATAAGCCATCCACAACCAAGATAAGCTTAACATAGCCATGCTGACATTATAAAATGTAACCTGGACTTAATGGCGTAACCAACAATACATCATCCAAGGGAGACAAATCCACACCACGATGTGGAGAGGAAGGGGACTTTAAAGAAGACCGAGGATGAAGGTTTGCTGACTGTGGACGAAGAGTTGAAGATGGAGGTCGAAGATTTTGAGACTTGGGGCGGCAGCTTTGTGTGGATTGCGGTCGAAGGTTTGAATCCGACAGCAGATATTTAGACACACGCTTACCAGCTGTAAGGAACATCTCAGTCACATAATTTTTTTACAGCTCATACAATAACACAAAAACTTATCAAAATTAAATCCCTTTTTCATATCTATATCAATATCAGATTCTCCACATCCCATCTCTATTACCAAAAGTCCCTCATATCTTACCTCTATAAAATATCTTTATATCCTACAAGTAGTACCTCTATGAAAAATCTATGAAAGCAAGCTTTATCCCAAGATCATCTTCACAGCCTTCCTTTATTTAACTTCTTCCAACCTTCAGTTTATCTTACCAGGTTTAGTTGGTTCCTCATGATCCACTTCCTTTGCCTTGGGCTTTTTGCTGTGAGTCTGCCATGGTTTCTCATAGCCTCTATTTGACACATCTGATATAAAAATGATGAGAAACCAAATTATGACACTAATTCCAACCAGTGATGTGTTAACAAACTCAAGTATTTTCTTATCAGTCCAAACTGGCTTTCAGTACCATTGATGTTATGTCTCTAAGTGGATATATTATCTTTGATGCTGGATCATGAATGTAGATTATCTTATGATGATCTATGTATCTACCAAGTTCATTATCATAGTTTAATGCAAACAATTTAAAGTTGTGCTCTAGACACAAAATTTTAACAAAGGGCAATAACTCTGCAAAGTTTTGCTCTGGACATGAAATGACATATGGAGAGAAGGACTGTCAAAATTTTTTGGGAGCATAAAAATATTTTCAAATTTTACAAATTTAAATGATGTATTTCAAGGTAAGACAACAAATTTCACTGTCTTTCTATCTTCAAAAGTTCTTCTCATTGGACTGTAATATAACAACAAACAGATTTATGTTTTAATATTTAAAACAATTACTATATGTTTCTTAACAATATAACATTATGCACAATATAATGTCTGCTCTACTCAGCCTGAAAGTTATTAGTTTAAAACACACAAAGTCCTTTTACTTACCAACTGATTTGGAAGTCCAGGCTTGTGTTGCTGCTTTCCTCGTCATTTCGGGACTTTTACTACGTTGCACTGTTAGGATTAAAAACATGATCACTTAAATACTTATTCAAAAGCATACTCTGTATATACATTTCTATATAATGTATTCTTGACATTCCAAGGGTTACCATCATTTTACCTCTCTACACCCCTAGAACCTTTCATGGCAAAAAAAAAGAACATGATTGGTCTAGAGTGGGGTTACAGAAGAAAAAAAAAAGACCAATCACAGAACAAAGATTAATTTCCATTTTCCATTATGCAATTAAATTCAACATGAAGGTAGATATATAAATACAAGCTTTCAACTACTATTTACCGGTAATGTATAAACAGTTCATATTTGCAGTGCCTGAACATATTTAAGACTCTGAATCTATGACTTGTGGAGGAAAACATGTGGCTTACAACAGAATAGAAGTTCTTATAACACAATTAGAAGAAGAGTGTGAAGTTTCCATGACTACAGTCACCTTCATCAGACAAATGACCTGTGTGGAGGATACTAGCACTAATGTACGTAGTGTACACAACCAGTAGAAGATTAGAGTGTGAGGTTTCGATGACTTCAAGGTCAACTTTATCAGACAAATGACCTGTGTGGAGTGTATTAGCACTGACGTATGTAGTGTACACAACCAGTAGAAGGATTAGATTGTGAGGTTTCGATGACTTCAAGGTCACCTTTATCAGACAAATGACCAGTGTGGATGGTACGGAATCAGCCGCAGCCAAAAAAGTTGGTTGATTCTATACCATCTCATACATACGCCAGTGCTAATACGATCCACACTGGTCATCTGTCTGAGGAAGGTGACCATGTAGTCATCGAAATGTCACTCTAATCTTCTACTGGTCATATTACAAGAACTTCTTTTCTACTGACATTACCAACCTAAAGAACATGTTCCAAAATATGGCTTACAAAAATTAACACTGCCGTACATCATGTATCCAAAGATAGGTAAAACATTTTCTATCCATTACTTTAAAAATAATGAGTTTAAAGACCAGGGTTGGTATCTATCCCTATATTCAAGAATGAAATATAACAGTAAAAATTATATGAGGTGTACTTTCAGGATTAAATCAATAAAGAAAACAACTTATTTCATGACTTCTTTGAGGTATGCATTATGTATCAAGCTTTCAGTAAAACATCATAAATCTGTACTTTAAAAAGAAAAAACTTACAGCGTATATGGATTAAAGATTTCATGTAAATGAAAAAAATTCTAGTTATCTTTTTACTAAGAAATTATTACATGCAAAGATACGAGTTTCAAGAGCATCTATTTGTGTAGATTTTTCATTGAAACTGTAACTGTCAAGTCTGCTATTGATCTGGGTTTTTTTCTAAATATAGATAAAAGAATAAAAGACCTTAATTGGCATCCATACTTATTCTTTCTGGTGAGCTTCTCCTTACACCTGCCAGTTTCAAATCCTGAAATTTAAAATATCTGTTGTATTTTGTTCAATGACATAACATTATTGTTAATGACTATTGCGATATAAAATACATCTTTTAATATTTTTTGATAGTGTAAAATTGTTTACTGGATTAATTGCCCTAAGAAAAGCGAGGGTCAATGAACAACATACCCAAGGCTTATTTGCATGCCGTTAAGAGCATTGGAAATAAATTGTCCTGCCCAAGGACACAACCATGACGGCACAGACCAGTCCATTTATCAGTTTTTTGAGAAACACAATTTATTTGTGCATGTTCAACACTGTTGTTGACTGTGACTCAAACCTTTACTGTTATTGTATATAATTTAGCGGTAATACTGTTTCAGTGATTTTTGCATTGGAGTGACATAATATTGATGTAAGTTTGATTATATGCTAATCGTAATTTCTGAATGTTATATTTATACCAGGTATATAATCATAGTGGAAAAATAGCATCAAATAGCTTATGTTTAATTAACAAAAATTGATGAAAATTTAGACAGAGATATGATGATCTGCAGGACTCTCTTTGTTAATTTCTTAACTTTCATAGCAACAAAGAAATTCCAACTTATGAAGCATTTAATGCATTCTTCAAATTCAACTGCTAATTGCAAATAATAAATATTCTATAATTAATATTTTCACTCTAGCTTTGTCTAGCACGCTTTTTGCAAACATCAATTCACAGCGTATTTTGCTGAACTTGAGAAATACATGTATATAAATGGCATTTATATAACAAAAAGTCTTCATATTATTAAATGTAGTACCATTACCTTTAATTTCACAATAATAAAACAAGATCATTCATGCAATCGCTTTGAAAAGAAATAAAAACTGTTTGATTAAACTTACTGTAGGTATGTCCATGCCTGCCTTCTTATACAAGACCTTAATCATGTAAATCAAAGGCTTTTCTGGCTGGTCATGTAAAACTTTATTCATCAAATCCTGAAAAAAAAAAATACGAACAAAAACATCAATTACTATAATGACATATTAGCAAAATTTTCAATGATTCAAAATTATATTCTTAAAATTTCAAGTCTTAAAAGTCCATTAGTCATGTGATTCCTGTGTATAGCTTAAGCATATATAGACAACTGGAATAAAATCACAGGAATCAGATATATTAAGTGTAAAGTAAAAAAGAAAAGGGGAATTTGAATTATATCCTGATACTGATTCATATGGTGAAATAAAGAGATTAAAAGACTATCACTGACTTTGTTCTTGATTGACTAGATTGTTTAACTATTGGGAGCATTTAGTGCAAATATCATAGTTGAGGATGAATTTACCTTAGTGCTTTATGTACATTTATAGGTCTTAGTACACCTGATTGTATTGGTGAATCTGTGACCACTACTTTCAGAGATTCTCACAGTATTAAACCTCAAATATTGTTGGGAGTAGAATTTACCTGTGTTCTATTTTCAGACGTGCCATAAGCAATGGAGGTGATAAAGTTTGTGATTTTTACAAAAAGCAATACAACTGAATTACTCGCTTTTTGTCTAAAAAAGTACCTTGCATTGGTTACTGAGTCATATCAACAATATAAAGCCCTTTTTGTTGCAAATGTTAAAAATAACTTTATGCGTTTCTATTTCAGGTGGTCTCACATTTGAATATCAAATCATTGCCCAAAAGCAGTAACTGTCACTCAAATGCCGAACTATTACCCGGATGTGGAGATGTAATTCTACCTAACCAGGCTAAATTAGATACTGCTCTACCTGCGACCAGGTAAATACCGCAATCGGTTATTTTTTTAAACTCTCAATGCATTGTTGCTTTATGAAAACGCATTTTTTCTAACTGGTTTTTATCTGCAACTTCAGATTAACAAATTGAATATATCAATTTCAAGTTTAATTAATTTGATCATAGAGTTAAGAATACTGACGAAGCTGAGAACAAGTCAAAACATGCTGACTTGTTTACATCATGTATCTGACTATTTCTACCTGAAAACAACATTGTTAACAACCAAATACATGTAAATGTAATGAAGTCAACCTCAAAAAGTGAGCTGAGGCGATGTCGCTCCATGTAGTGTTGCATTTTCTGTGGAGTACCCATGTTTCTGATCTTAACTCTCAGTCATGGGAAATTTGTTTTGGAATCCAGCGCGCCGGAAAGACAATTGCGCCACCTATGAAAGTTGGTCAGGGTGCGTTCGATTCATATAGATTTTTACACTGTGCTAATGTAACACTGATAGTCTAGGAAGCGATGACAAATGAAAAATACACACACAGGCACACATGAACACACACGCACGCACATGCATCTATCTAGTAACCATAGATACACATAAGACATTTGATACTTTAAACCACGCGATCCTGTTTAATAAAGTATTTCTACTGCTACCAGATAATGACCAACTTCAACAGGTTGAAGGCTTTGTCGTTTTATGGTTGGCTGAGTTTTTAATGGACTATCATAAGAGTTTTCCAAATTACATCCAAGTGGCAAACAATCTGAAAACATTATTTAAAGAAAGTTATGCCAACGTAAATGTAAAAAAGGCTCTGTGTGTATGTTTTCAAAGCTTGTAAGAATTTGCATGCTGAAAATGAAATTAGTATAAATTAGAGTAAAGTTTATTTTAAACCCCCTATATTGTACAATATTTTTTTATGAAGGACTGGTATGAAAAAAGGAGTGATAATTATAAATGACATGATAAAAGATTACTATTATGGTATATTCTATACTGTCAATGAATTTACTCAAGCATATCAAATGGAGGCCAATTATCCAAAATATCATAGTGCTCTGTCTGCTGTAAATAAATCAAATCCTAATGCAGGTTTTCCTAATGAAAAATTATTAAAAATAAATAAAGAAAAATAATTAAACTTATTATGCCGATAAACGTGATAAACGTGCAAGTATTTTTAAATAAGCCAATAAGTTCTAAACATTCTCTCTAAAACCAAAATAGCACCAACTGGACAGAAAAAATGGAATAAATCATTTAATCTTAGTAATTCCATTTGACCTTATAACTCCCCTTTGTTATCACTACTTACACAAAACTTCAATGGTTTCAGTATAGAATCAATCACCATACTCTACCTACAAATTCCTTCCTACTTAAAACTCGTTTAGTTATATCTCCTTTGTGTATACTTTGTAATTCTGAGACTGAAACTATCATTCATATTTTACGGGAATGCCAAGAGTTTCAAAATCTTTTACAACGTTTTGAAATTTTATTAGACACACTTATTATTCCCTTTAATTTCAATAAAGAATCATATCTTTTTGGATTTCTAACACAAAATATAAAAACAGCAGGATTGATGATGAAATACTTATCATTATAAAACAGCAAGATGCGATGTTTTCATGACTCCATGAATATAAATGCTCTAATTAACACAATAAAAGACAATTATAATATTCATAAGTATATAGCAATTAGTACCTGAGATAGTGCTAAAGAATCATTTGAGTATGAATGGAAGAAATGGGAAAACTATTTGTTCTATAGTAATTTTTTATTTGTGTTTGTTTGTTTTGTTTATGTGAATTTTTTCCCCTTTTTACCTCAGGCCTTGAAATATAAGGCCAATTTTACAAGAATTTCTACCCCATATAATTTCTCTTTATTATAACTCCTTCACATTATATATATATTATATTATATATATATCTCCCCCACCCTCTCTCTCTCATAGTAGTTATTTGTTTCTAATATTTCTAAAAGGGTGCTTTGTTCTGTTTGTTCTGTCTCTCTGTTTGACTAAATTAGTCAAGTCAAGCATGAGGCTTTTATAAATATATTAATATATATACACTTCTGTAAGCAAATGATGATGATGATGTGTGAAGGATAAATGATGTAGATTGATGATGATGATGATAAAAATGACGATGATGATGTATGAACGATGAATGGCGTTGATGGATAATGGTGATGTGTGAAGGATAAATGATGTAGATAGATGATGATGATAATGACGATGATGATGCATGAACGATGAATGGTGTTGATAAATGATGGTGTGAAGGATAAGGAAGCTTCTCAATCTCTTATAAGTAGTCAACGGCACCAAATGTTTTATATGAAGGAGCAATGAAAAACACCCTGTCCCGGCGGTGTTCGAACTAGCGACCCTTCGGTCTCTAGCCGGACAATCTACCGCTCGACTAAAGGGAACTTCCACTATCGCTGATGCTATTAATGTGACCTGTCCTCTCACCTTCTACTAGTTTAATAGAAGCCGAGCCTATTAGTTGGTCACCACAGAAAAAATGTATTAACCTTATCGTAAACTTAGGTAGAATAACAAGCAAATTTATGGAATTTATATCCCCCGCTTTCCAAACATATTGTAAGTAAATATTTTATAGGTTAGCAGTAAACATGTCATATTGCTATGTAGAATGATATAGTTTAATGATAAACTGATAATATTTGTGGGACTTCAAGTTACATCTAAATCAGATTATATTTAAGAAAGTTAGAGCATAAAAACTGACCAACCAAAGAAATGAAAGAATACCTAATTAGTATGCATAGATATTAACAGATGATGTTGATTGCTGAACGCAGTCGTATGTGTCCTAATATGCATCTGCTTACCAAGTTTCATCTAAATCGGATTATATTTAGGGAAGTTAGAGCACGGAAATGAACCGACCAATGAAATCATAGGATACCTCATTAGTATGAATAATTATTAACAGATGACACTGATAGTCAAACTCAGCCTTAAAGACCCAAAGATGCATCTGCTGACCAAGTCTCACCCAAATTGGGCGATATTTGGGGAAGTTAGAACACGGAAACGAAAGTGTGACAGACAGACGAACTAACCAAAATTGATATCCTCCGTTTCGGTGAAAGTGGGGGATAAAAACTAAGTTGAATATAACACAAAGCACTAACCATGGAAGTTTTAAACAATAGACGCCTTCTCAGCACAGGCTGTTGACCTTACAGAGAAATACTGTGGCCCGATTGAGTATAAGCAACGGTGTAGTTTCTTCTTTCATGTAGCTTTATCAGGCACAAACAGAGTCTGTCATAGTTGTGAGAGATGGTGATCCTTTCTCAAGCGCTCCCCAGTGTGTAAGTATAATGTGTATAAAATTAGGATACAAAAAGTGTACAAATATGACGTGTACAAAGTTAGATAACAAAGTGTGTGTAAATATAACATGTACAAAGTTAGGTAACAAAGTGTGTAAATATAACGTGTACACAGTTAGGTAACAAAGAGTGTGTAAATATAACATGTACAAAGTTAGGTAACAAAGTGTGTGTAAATATAACATGTACAAAGTTAGGTAACAAAGTGTGTGTAAATATAACATGTACAAAGTTAGGTAACAAAGTGTGTAAATATAACATGTACAAAGTTAGGTAACAAACAGTGTAAATATAACGTGTACAAAGTTAGGTAACAAAGTGTGTAAATATAACGTGTACAAAGTTAGGTAACAAACAGTGTAAATATAACGTGTACAAAGTTAGGTAACAAAGCGTGTACAAATATGACGTGTACAAAGTTAGGTAACAAAGAGTGTGTAAATATAACGTGTACAAAGTTAGGTAACAAAGAGTGTGTAAATATAACGTGTACAAAGTAAGGTAACAAACAGTGTAAATATAACGTGTACAAAGTTAGGTAACAAAGAGTGTGTAAATATAACGTGTACAAAGTTAGGTAACAAAGAGTGTGTAAATATAACGTGTACAAAGTTAGGTAACAAAGAGTGTGTAAATATAACGTGTACAAAGTTAGGTAACAAAGTGTGTAAATATAACGTGTACAAAGTTAGGTAACAAAGAGTGTGTAAATATAACGTGTACAAAGTTAGGTAACAAAGAGTGTGTAAATATAACATGTACAAAGTTAGGTAACAAAGAGTGTAAATATAACGTGTACAAAGTTAGGTAACAAAGAGTGTGTAAATATAACGTGTACAAAGTTAGGTAACAAAGAGTGTGTAAATATAACGTGTACAAAGTTAGGTAACAAAGAGTGTGTAAATATAATGTGTACAAAGTTAGTAAACAAAGAGTGTAAATGTAACGTGTACAAAGTAAGATAACAAAGTGTGTGCAAATATAACATGTACAAAGTTAGGTAACAAAGTGTGTAAATATAACGTGTACAAAGTTAGGTAACAAAGCGTGTGCAAATATAACATGTACAAAGTTAGGTAACAAACAGTGTAAATATAACGTGTACAAAGTTAGGTAACAAAGAGTGTGTAAATATAACGTGTACAAAGTTAGATAACAAAGTGTGTGTAAATATAACGTGTACAAAGTTAGGTAACAAAGAGTGTGTAAATATAACGTGTACAAAGTTAGGTAACAAACTGTGTGTACAAAGAGTAACAAAGTGTAAATATAACGTGTACAAAGTTAGGTAACAAAGAGTGTGTAAATATAACAAAGTGTACAAAGTGTAGGTAACAAAGTGTGTGTAAATATAACAAAGTGTGTGTAAATATAAAAGAGTGTGTAAATATAACGTGTACAAAGTTAGGTAACAAAGAGTGTGTAAATATAACGTGTACAAAGTTAGGTAACAAAGAGTGTGTAAATATAACATGTACAAAGTTAGGTAACAAAGAGTGTGTAAATATAATGTGTACAAAGTAAGTAAACAAAGAGTGTGTAAATATAACGTGTACAAAGTTAGGTAACAAAGAGTGTGTAAATATATCGTTAGGTAACAAAGTGTGTATATATAACGTGTACAAAGTTAGGTAACAAAGAGTGTGTAAATATAACGTGTACAAAGTTAGGTAACAAACAGTGTGTAAATATAACGTGTACAAAGTTAGGTAACAAAGAGTGTGTAAATATAACGTGTACAAAGTTAGGTAACAAAGAGTGTGTAAATATAACGTGTACAAAGTTAGGTAACAAAGAGTGTGTAAATATAACGTGTACAAAGTTAGGTAACAAAGAGTGTGTAAATATAACGTGTACAAAGTTAGGTAACAAAGTTAGTGTGTAAATATAACAGTGTGTAAATATAACGTGTACAAAGTTAGGTAACAAAGTGTGTGTAAATATAACAACAAAGTTAGGTAACAAACAGTGTAA